TGTCATTTTCAGCCACGCAGATATCTTCTAGAATCGGCTTAACCGACTATATCAACCCACATCATGTCACTCGCAACACTTGACGTCAGACCACTCCCTCCAGAACTACCGGATAACCCACTAATGAAATAACCAACAGGCCACGCAGCATCCCAACCTCCCAGCATCCGCTGAAACCCTCTTCAAAGCCAAGGCCCAAAAAAAGCTCAGCTTCGAGCAAATCGCCCAGCACATCGGCCGCAATGAAGTCGCCACAGCAGCCCTCTTCTACGGCCAGGCCAAGGCCTCCCCAGAAGACATCCAGAAACTGTCAGAGCTGCTCAATATCTCACCCCAGGTTCTCGAGGAGCAGCTAAGCGGCTTCCCGGACCGTGGTCGCTCCGTTGAGATGCCGCCAAAGGAGCCCTTGATCTACCGGTTGTATGAGATTGTGCAGAACTACGGGTATGCGTACAAGGCTGTTCTCAACGAGAAGTTTGGGGATGGGATCATGAGTGCTATTTCGTTCTCGACCAAGGTCGAGAAGGAGACGGATGCGGATGGGAATAATTGGGCTGTTATTACTCTGAGGGGCAAATGGTGAGTTTCCTACTCTAGCCTTGGATGAAGCTGACAATGGCAGGTTGCCTTTCTCTCGTTTCTGATGGGGATATGCTATGAGATTGAGAGTGAGATCGGTTCAAAGCCAAAAGTAAGCTTCTCAATATGAATAGGTATATAGCACGACGCCTCTAAGGATATGTTTGGTTGAAGGATCACTATGTATTGTGCGCTAGTAGTAGCACTCACAGTAGTATATTTATAGTAACTATCAATTTGAACCATAGTCATTGTAATACGTTTATCTCTGATCTGTCTCGCTGATGGAGGATGCAAGGAAGACTTTCCTAGGGTTAGTTAAGAGCTGATCTGTTCCTGAGTAATTATTCACGGCAAGTCTAGATCGAAGCGGAAGGTTCCTCAGAGAAGGACAGAAGCGGCAACTGCCCATGAGTCTAGTAGATTGTTCTCAGCTGTTCGTCGCAGAGCTCTGGCAGACGAAGAGGATGGTAATGGAAAAGAGTGAATGATTTTAGACGTTTGGTACGCCACGAGTCAAGCACTGTCAGTGAGATATCCTAAAAGAGATGCCTCACTGTTTTCACTGTCTCTCACTTGTCATCCAGTTCTACCTTAACTTCTTCTTCTCCCCGTCTTCCAGTTCAAAACTACTCTTCGATTGACAAGGTCCCTTCACTCTCACAGCATCTCTTCTTCACCAGCATCATTCCTACATATTCTCACTTTCCACAAGACCATCAACAATGCCTAACCCAGGTACACCCAGAAAAGTGCTCTGCACTTTTCCCGACTGCTCTCGCCGTTTCAACACCGTCGAGGAGATGAAGAAACACAAGAGCTGCGCCCCCGAACACGAATACTGCACCCGCTGCGACGAGGACTTCGAGAACGAGGAACGACACCTCATCCACAAGATCAAAAGCAACAAGCACATCGTCTGTCCCATCTGCGGCGTCGATTTCCGAAGCGAGGGCGGCCGTGACGGGCACATTCGCCAGGTAAGCTGTCCTCGACTCACCAGTCTTTCTTCACGCAGACCATGCCATTAGCCACTTGTACATAATACTAACTTGAAGGATGGGTAGTACCACCGTGCCGAGCAAACCCTGACCTGCTATGGCTGCAAGGCTCTCTTCAAAACCGCCGGCGGCCTTATGCGCCACATCGAAGATGACGAGTGTCCCGAGATCACCAAAAGACGTCTCCTGGAGGAAAGATCGAAGAAGATCATGATCAAGCAGGCTCTCGGTAATGGCGTGGGCTCGCCCCTTCCCATCCTGCCCCGTCCAGGTGATTTGGACGACGTCGACGGCGGCGTCAAGGTGAATCCTCTGGAGTACGACAACCGCGAGGCGATGGCCAACCAGCCGAAGCCTGGAGACGCTGGTTCGGCTACATTGTCGCAGAAGCACTGGCCAGAGCTCAGGACGGCTGCCAAAGCCAGGGCAACGGATAACCCTACTCCTGCTGACTTGATGGCGTTCTCTGACCTTGCCATCACGGACACTGCCGGGGAAGGGGCCTGGAAGGGCAAGGGGAGACTTATAGCAATTCCGGAATCGGAGAGGGAGCAAGACGAGAACGTGCGTCCCTTTGGAGTGGGAGCCCCGGATGCTGGCCAGATCTTGCGCTTTCTGCAGCACAATTGGGACCCGACCAACTTTTTCGACTCGTACAGCGGGGAATACGTCTGTCCTTGCAGAGCACGCTTCAAGACCATGAAGGTTTTTGAGGAGCATATGTTGATGAAGAGTCAGGGCGCAAGAGGCATGGAGTACGTATTGATTGTCTGGGTCCTTTGGAACGGATGCTAAATACTACTGAAAACTAGGTGTCCCGGATGCCATCGTATCTTCAAGACCACCGCGGCTTTGGTTGCTCACTGCGAGTCGAGTACCAAAAGATGCCTTATCAACGCCAACTCGCGATACAGTCAGATCATTGACGAGGTGAGCGCCGGAGTCATCCAGGCGGCGGGCTATATGCCAGATGGAACTGTGAAATATGAGGCTGGAAAACTGGAGTTGACCAAGACGACCACCATTGGCGTTGACCTGGAGAAGAACAAGTGGTAATTGACAGACACCGAGGATCCTCCTCCTAGTTCCAGCCTACCGTGGCAATGGTTGAGGTCATCGGAGTCGTGCAGCAAGGCTTCCAATCCTTTTTACTACTGTTTCATGGTCATCTGCTGCATATCATTCAGGCTAAGTTGATCCAGACTGTGTTTTACCAAATCAGCCTGTTGAAAACTTCAAACGAAAAATGTTCCCAAAGCAATGGATGATATCGAAACAAAAGTTCACAATATTCAAGAATTCATTCTCTATGACCAGCAATCAGCTAGCAATGGGTATAATGAGCATCATAGGGCAAAACATCATTGCCAAAAAGACTCCAAGGCAAACAAAGCCAGCAGGGACCGAGCGTATAACCATAGCTCACGACCTCCCATGCTTATGAGCCTTGAGTCCCCGACCAGCGATAACAACGCTTAACAGCACTCCTCACAGCACTCAAAGCACAGGATACCGGCGCACCTAATCAATATTAGCCAATTTTAAATGCCATCCTAGTATCACGGGTGTCATACACTCCACAGCAAACATCTCCGGCGCCACCACCGCGCAGTTGCATCTTCATGGCCTCCTCGTTATTCTGTAGACACAATCAATATTCATTCCCGTTTGAGTAAGAGATCAGTGGATAAAAACGAACCGGTTGCTCAGTCACAACACGCTCTGTAGACGGGCCCTCGGGGCTAGCGGGCTGCTGCATGGTGAGGGTGTTAGGGTCCCAGGTGGATTGTTGCTGGGCGGGAGCAGAGTCCTTGGAGGATTTGAAGAAGTCGAAGAGGCCCATTTTTTTATAGATATGTCACTTGTACAGAGAGAGTAGAGTGGGAATGAGTGTGATAGTAAGGATGGAGATGAGATGCGGAGAGATCGGCGCGAGTATGAATGGGAAAGAAGACAGGACAGGTACGGGAGAAGGTGGGCAGTGGGCTTATTATGTACTTGCGAGCCCAGGCTTCCCTGGTGGAAACGCGGTAGAAAAGATAAAAGTACAATAGCACCGCCACTAAGTTTAATAGTCGGAAATTACAGTGCTTGGATCGGAAGGTCAACCCTGAAACTGCGAATAGGGAGGAAAATCATATGGTCGGGGTGGAGTGGACCACTCATGGCACGGAAAGAATCCACGCTCTTTGGCACTCAGCCTTGCGGACTTGCGTTGTCGGTGGAGTCTTCTTTGTCATTTTGATGATTTGATGAGCTTACCCTAATTCATCTTTCATTTAGTGTCGCATCATTATCAAATAACTTTGAAACCGAGAAGTCAAATTTCACCTTCAGAGCGCTCTCCTGTTTACCTGGAGATGTCAACAGAAGAAGCGCCCGACAGACAATATGACCTCAGGCGTTTATGATCCCTGTATATCTTCCTTCATCTTGAGATATCAGCAAATCGCTCAGTGAGAATAGAGTACGCATGAGACAGGTTGCCGAGCAGCCTCTCCGTGTCTCAGGACGACAGTATTGTGGCTTGTTAGCAGTTAGGCAACCTCATTTTCCGGCCATGCGGTGAAACCACGGGTCAAATTACAATCTTTGGTCTTGCTTGTGGCTAAGCTTTGCTCAAGCTCCATTTGCCCAGCTTGGCGGGGGGCTATTCTTAGGATACTAGTCGGTGCCGAAGGCCGAAGTGATCTCAGTCTCGTAGGGCTGGCTAGACACACTATTACGCAGTGATCCACGTTCAACAATGATCATCCATGTTACCCAGGATTGCAATCACCATGTATCAGCGTCATTTCATATTTCGACAGAGAATGGAAGGATTTCTTCACTACAGGCCAACAGCGATGTTGTGGAAATAGGAACGCTCGATCCGTACTGCATAGACGACGAAATCACGTGACTAGTCACATCGACAATCCAGATCATTTTTCATTTCAAGTCGACATTCCTCACATACACATGCTTAAGGGTATCATATCTGTTTTGCATACTGAGACATCTGATGGCTGTACTCTGTACTCGCATAGCCTCATGACAATTCCAACCCCCTCCTGGCTGGCGATTTGTTAAGAGGACGATCAGATAGAAACTGACAGTTACGAACAATTCAGATTTGTTATACCCTAGACCTATATGAGAGGTGATTAAACTGTGTCTATCTTCTAACCTCGAATGTGCTGCCTGAAATGTACTGTTCTTGAAGTACCCTGAATCTGTGCCTGAAAGTCCAGGCAGCCAGAGAATGCCAGCCGACTGCATCTCTGGCTACTCCGGCCACCGTAAATTTTGCATCAACCACCATCGACATAAGTCTTCATAACTAAATACAGTGACAACCTATCAAAATTCAAATCAAATCCAAATCATCCTAAACAAACTTACTTCCTCCGAATCCACAACTCAGACCTGCCACAGAAAATGACCACAAACACCCCGGAACAAGACATCCACTCTACCCGCGAAGCAGACTACCTCCGCTTCAAACACTACGCCGCCCTAACCTTCCTAATCGCCTCACCCGTGCTCATCGCCCTGCCCCCCCGAAAGCTAGACCACCTGACCGTCCTCCTCGCCGGCGCCTTCTGCGTCTCCGCAAACCACCTCACCCGCGAACGCACAGGGCGCAGTATCGTCGAGCGCATCGAGGCACGAATTTCTTCCACCCCGTCACTGGTCATAGCCGATCTCCCGAGCCAGCGAGCGCAGGAGGTCCAGGCGAAACTGCGTGCGGCGCGGGATGCGCAGATCCGTGAGGGAAGTCTAGTGGGGGAGGAGCTGGAGAGGTTGAAGGCGAGGCGGGAGCAGGAGAGGGGCGTTGCGGAGCGGATTTGGATGGGTGGGGAGACGGAGGGGTGGAAGGAACGGCGGCTGAGGGAGGAGCAGAAGGCGTTGGAGGAGGGGAAGGGGTATGGGGATTTGATCAAGGAGCATATTTGGGATGTGTGGACGTGGGGGCAGAAGGATGGGGGGGAGGAGTCGAAGAAGGAGTGATTATGCGGTGGTGATTCTTATGGCTGAGTGTATGATATAGCATGTATATATGGGTTTGGAAAACTGGAGTTTGGCGTTGGTCAATGATACTTCAAGCATTGGGCTCCCTGGAAGATCCTCATTCTGAACTATTGGTTACTTCGAATTGTCAGTCGTGAATTGCGAAGGGGTTATACTCTGCGCGGGGCTCAGGACATGCTTTGGTTTCGCCTATTCATAGCTGAAATGCTCGAGACTCAGAACTAGGCTCTGTACGCGAAATCACCAAAGCCCTAACCTTACCCAGTCCTGGATCAAATCGCTCGAGGGGTATGGTGATAGACCAATTCAACGAGTCCCAACCACCTGATTACGCTGTATAATCTCATTAATCTCCACCATCTCTTTATCAGACAACCGTAACCTTGCTACTGGTCGATCCACCAGGAATGGGAATAATTGTCGGCATTCCAGGTCTGCCGCTGAGCGTCAAAATCCAGCCTAGCGCAATCTGTGCCGGAGCCACGCCTTTGCGAGCCGCGAGAGCCTTGGCTTCGTTCACGAGCTTGATGTTCTGCTTCATGGCCTCGTCCTGAAAATCGAGGCAGCTTCTTCCGGGGGTCGGCACCCGGAAGGTCGGATGCTGTAGTGAACGCGCCGGCCAGGACTCGTCGGCCTAGACGGGACGAGCAATCACGGGGATACCAAGTTCAGCGCGGTTTTGAGTACGCCGTTGTGGAGAGCGTGTGTGTCCCAGATGGATAGTTCCACTTCCACGAGGACAATTGGGTAGATTCCGTATCTGTTTGGTCATGAACAGTCAGTCCTCAACTTGTCACTGAAGCAACAGGTTGAGAAGAGAGTAGAGGACGTACGCTCGTTTGATGGTCTCTGCATCATTCACCTCGCTTTGACCGATGCCCATAATCTTCTCTGATCTGATTAGATCTGCCAACTAATTCCACCATGTCCTCTATTCTAGCGGAAGGATCCTGCCCTGCACACTGGAAGAAATCAATCTGCTTCTTTCCGCCCAGACTGGCGTTGACACTGCGAGTAATGTTTTGGCGGGAGCAGTCAAGCTTGCCATCCGAAGCCATGGCGCCCTTGATGCTCAGGGGGCATCATTGGCTTTCTCGGGATACTTGGAGAAGTATTTGTTGAGCAAATGGAGCGAGTTATATTGACGGCTGCCGTAGTGGTCTCCACCGCTCCAGAAGGTGGCATCCGGCTTGAGGTCGGTGATCATGGCTTCGAAGCATTCATCTTCTCGGGGTGGCTTGGGCCAAGAGGTCATGGCTGTTATAAGCAGATCAGCGTGGCTCTATGTAAAGCCTTATTTGGGATATGGCAACATACTCATCAACCCATAGCCAGTTTCGCCACATCTTGTTCGAGAACAGAAGGCATATTGATGGTTTTTGCCCTCTATATTGAAATCAACTTGTGCGGAAATCTCCTTTGCGTTGAATAACCGGTCAAGCAATATATCTTAAGTTGTGATGTGCATATAGATACTGGGGGTAGTGGGGATGTGATCTATCATCCCGCATGTATGCATGTAGCCCACCATCACAACTGGCGCTCCTTCAATGATCCTTTACCCTCACCTTATCTAGTGTCACCTTCTGATTTGACGGAGTCTATAAAGGGTCAGGGTCTTTCCGGTAACCAACAATGTGGCGGTTGTCACATCAATTGCTGCCAGGATCCATCCACTGTTGGCGAAGGTAAATTATGTTGAGGATCGTGGTCTCAACCTCAGCGCGGTCGAATGCTCTAGCGATAAGCACTAGGAGCCAGAGGGCTCTATTCGAGTCGTTGAGCCTCTTGAGTCGGTCCGGCCTGACTAGGCGCGCAGCGAAATCTTCGTTTAGGGTTTCTGCACACCACATTATGAAAATTGCATTGTAAATGTATCCTTGATCATTCAGGGTGTTTATGGCCTCGGAGTGGCCGAAAATGCATGCTATTGTAGCCATTATCGAAGGTCGTCCTTCATCGTTATCCGCCAGCGATCTCAAGTCATCTGTGCGGCCAGCTTGCAGAGCTTGAAGAAAAAGGTGATAATTCAGAACCTTTCCAATTTCCACGGCACGAACGATGAGCCGATCTCTGTAGAAACGTGCTACGGACGATGGGAGTGCGTCCGTATCCTCTTCTCCATTGTCTGTCGAACTCCACCCGTGGGCGAGTATCTCTGCAATGGCCAAGTTACCGAGCCGGACAGCCAAACATATTGGGGAAGGAGCCTGATCAATACGCAAGTTCAGGTTTGCGCCTAGCTGTACAAGGCAATCGACTACAGAGACATTCCCATGCTCAATGGCCAGGTAGAGAGCTTGCGTGACCTGTTCACCTGAAGTCCTTGGCGACGCAAAGCTCCGTAAGAATGACGATGCGGCCATATCAAGAGCTCTGTGTCCATACTTATCACGTACTTCGACGTCAGCGCCGTGGCAAATTAGCAAAGCGACAGCCGAGGTGTTAAGTCCTTCTGCAGCCACAAAAAGAGGACCCTGCATTGTCGAATCCCTTGTATTGACGTCCGCCCCCTTGGAGATCAGAGCTTGCACCTTGGTGCAGTCAAAATTTTCGACGGCATAAAACAGGGGTGTCCGTTCCTTCTTGTCCGTGATGGACAGGCTCGCACCCCCATCAATCAAGAGTTCGATCATGTCATCGCGTTTATTCATTGCGGCAAGATGTAAAGGCGTGTACCCGTCCACATCCCTGTCATTGATGTTTCTGTTCAATCTTGGCAGTAATAGTTCCATCACAAGGAGAGATCCAGTCTCTGCTGCGTGATGAAGGGCCAGTCTTCTCTTATTATCCAGGAGCGGGTGCTTAGAGAGCCTGACTAAATGTTCTACCGCGCTCGGAAAATCGTTCCTAGCGGCGAGATGCAAGAGCGGAATATAGTTGTAGTGATAGAGAGGGATATTGAACACGCTCTTGTCCATCGTTGGTTCATATGTATCCAACAGAAGGGAGAAAAGAGGCAGATGTCTATTGGCGATGGCCCATCCTAACGCCGCGACGCAATGTGACGCGGCTGATTGTCCAATGGACTTCCAGGGCTGAACCCGCAATGAGTAGTCTTGCTCCAGTGCGATCTTCGTGAACTTTGCCCAAGATGGTGAGCTCTGGTGAATCCCATCAGTTAGGCGCGCCCAGTGATATTTGGCAAAATTGAAGAAAGTCGAAGCCTCTGTCATGGCTCTCCTCTGTGGAAGTTTCGGTGGCCAGGGTATCTGCGCTGTTCGCGGCGTCCAAAGTCCCAGTGCTTCGGCATACGGCACTTGCTTTTTGACGACCTGAAGGAATTGGCTCACATCCACCTGGCCACGGTCACCTTCGCGACTTTCCTCTGAACCGAACGAGAGGAGACGGGTCATACAAAGGTCGCCTAGTTCAGCCCTAGCATCGTTGAGGGTGTAGTCACCCCAGAGTTGACTGACTTGGGCAGATCTCTCATCCAAGAACTGACTCACCGAGGCGTGAGTGAGATGGATTCGGTCATTGGAGTCCCGAATGACAAGGTGTGGACAAAACTTGATTATCTCTTTTAGAGGCAGCATATTCTTTGAATCCACCAACCCGCTTTCTGGATCCATGGCGAGTGCTTCCTGCATCTGAGCTGCTTCAAAAGGTTTGATTGCTACACATACCCAATATAAGACCTTCTGGGCCAACCGGTTATGCTTCTGATTGATTCGAGCTAAGCAGCGGTTGTATGTTTCGCTCAAGTCTTTCGGTAGGTTATCCATGGCGGTTTGAATTTCGGCATCTGTATAGCATTCTTCCCATAGCATATCCAGCTGCAGACTGACCCACAGGAACCTGAGGAAAAATCAGTGATGAATAAACCTGGTAAGTAGAAACATCATATCTTACATGCAATCCGCTCTCTCCAAGAGTTTCCGCTTGATATCCTGTAGCAAGGCCAAATTCTCGGTCAACGGACGGTCGCGAGATTTCTCGTCTATTTTCCAATCAACGAATTTGCGAATATCGTTGCCATTTCCTTGATTGGCAATTCCAATAGTCATGGCGCCTGGAATTGCCTGCTTTAGATCGATTCCATCACGCCCAGAAACCAGGATTCTGGAATTATTTTGCAAAATCATCGCCCGGAATACTTCAAAGATTTCTAGCACTTCAGATCGCTCGCATTCGTCCAATCCGTCAACAACATAGATGGCATTCGGAACCGCGCGACAGGCTAATAGGAAGACATCTTCCACCATTTCTCTCAAGGAAGAGGGGTAGCTGCCAACCTTGTAAAGATTTTTAAGGTTCTTGACGACCGCTGCCGGGAAAGGTTTAGCGATGCGAGACAAGTATGCCAGGATTTGCTTTGTGAAGCTCTCAAACAAATCCCTCGCCTTTAGACGGTCTCGGTTGCGATGGCTGTAGAAGAAATGCGCGACGAGGGTAGACGAGTCGCTGTGGAGAGTCTCCAAAAACTGTACTATGGTGCTTCTATATCATATCGGGTCAGTTGGTTTATGGTATAACCATTTGGCGGTGGGCAGAGGAGCATACGTGACCAAGGTCTTGCCGCATCCAACTAGATCTAACTCAGTATCAGAATCTCAGACCATCTATGGACACTGACTTTTCCCTGTAAGCCACAGGCAGGAATGACCCCGTCTCTCTAGCCAGTTTTTAAAGGTTGCTTTGCTTAGAATCCAAGTAGTCGTGTCCGGGCATCTTCTTCGCAGATAGTCTCGGCATGTCCGGTACGGATCATAGTCTGAAAGACGCTCAAAGATGTTGAATGGAGTGTTACCAACTGTATTCATTAGCCCAGTTCGTTTTTACAGTCGCAACCTTCCTACCGTTTCGGGCGATTTGCCATTCATCTCGCTGCGAAAGTGAGTGAAACATAGAGGCCTCATCAACACGGTTATCCTCTACCCAACAGCATCAGTCTAAGCTCATCTGATCATCTGTCATAGTGAATATATACCTGGAATGTGGCCGAACTGGACCATTGCACCTGCAACTGTTTCCGAGCCCTGAATCACGGCTAGTAGCTCTTTCGCATACGCAGCAGCTGTTGCCGCAGCATATTTTTGCCACTCCTTGTTCTTATGAGAATCAGCATAATCACATATCCCTCGAATTACTAGACACGGGAAGTGATTCATCAAGCCAGCAGCCTCCATCTCAAAGCAGATAACACCATGTTCCTTCGCGATGCGATCCCTTGATGCCGCATGCTTCATCACTTGGTTGCCGGACGCGATCAGCCCGTAATGGATTTTGGGGATCTGCGACAGTCGTGGCTCTCGATGCACCACCATCCTCTTATTACAACAGCTCTCACACGACTGTTCTGCGTCCGGGTGGTCGTAATCGGCACGGAATAGATTGTCGACGGCAGACTTCGGGTACTGAAAATCACACATGGCAGGGTATTTCTTCTCCATTTCGAGGAGAAATTCGGGTACACGAGTCGTCCCCATCATGCACTCAGAGCGCAAGTTTCCTACCGCAGTTAGAAGACGCTGTGGCGGTCTATTGAGCGTGCCTGTATGCACTGAGCAGCCGTCGCCAACCGTCTTCCCGAGATCATATTGCACAACACCCCCGTATTTCCCTGTTGGGTTACTGACAACCACATCACCCAGTCTGATATCCACGGTTCCGGGGGCGCCGCCGCTAATCCCGACCATCAGATTAAACTGGATCTTGGGGAAGGTGGAGAGCATCTGTGTCGAGACGGTAGCAGCTGAGTTGGTGCCGTACTCCCCCGACGGAAGACATGCGATCACTACATTGTGTCCGAAGATTTCCCCAAGAACGTAGTTGTTATTGTCCCGCGGTGGTTGAGGTAAATTCTGGTGTCTTTCGTCCAGCATTGCCTTGGCCGCTGCCATTTCCACATGTAAGGCACAGAGCCAACCGACTGTGTAGGCGCCGTGTTGTAAGCGTTTTACGCTGGCCATGTTGCTGATGCGCCAGGTAGCTTCCCTTCATGTCCGCATTAATGTTCAAGGATGAGTCTGCCCACTACGGCAGAGCCGAGAGCCATATGCAGAGATTGTAAGGGGCATGGTCGGTGGAGGCACAAGTTTTGATACCCCAAGGCTGAGGACGAGGCTTGCGTCTTTGGCGCTTATTCTTCTCACGTGAGGTAAAAAGCAAGCATTTCAGGATGCCTGCTAGAGCCCTACTCCAAGAATTTTTCTCATCAAGCCCCAATAATTTGCTACTAATTTTCATTCGATCAGATGTGAGAATTCTCTCCTGGGCCCATGTTAAGAGGTTGTCAAGGCACCTGCTGTGCTATCAAAGAAAGCAGGTGCCACCCTCCAGACCCTTCTGGAGTTGATATTATAATAGCGCTACTCGCTAGAATAAAACACGCAGAGCAGAATCCAAACAGGAAGTGTTCAATATTCAACCACCGTCCACTTCACGATGTTTGCGCCGGTACGACCACTTTCGGCCGGCCTTCAGTATCCTTAGGGTTCGAAATCGGTTCCACCCCCGAGCCAGGCAGCGTTACGATGGTCTGCGCGTGAGACTCGGCCGTTCCATAATCCCACCGGTCCAATGTATTCCCCTTGAACTGGTATTGGAGCCGCTCGCCGGGTTTCAGGGCATCGGGGAGCCCGTCCCCGTCCGCCGTCATTGTCCAGAAGTCTGACCAGGATTCCCCAGGGAAGAGGGTCAGAAGCTGATTATCTCGGTTCTCAAACACGTTTATCAGCTTATCGGAATTGTCCCAAAACTGATGTCGATGGCCGTCGGCGTAAAATGTCTCCCATTCCTCCTCTGTCTCTAGACTAGAATGATCTCGACAGCGATGGCGATAGACGCGGAATTGGCTATCTACCGGCTTGAATGCCCAGGTGTGGAAAGTGATCGGCCAGAGTTCTTCTTTAACATTATCCGATAGACCGTGGTATATCACTCTGATAGAGATCTCCAGACTCCCTGTCAGAGGCATTGTTGGGCTACAGCTCAGAGCTAGGCTAAGGACTGGTGCCCCTGGGCTGTTATACTGATTAGCAGAGGAAGCCACTACTATTTTGGAGTACTTACACTCTTTCACATGGGCTGATAGGCGGCGGTGATGTAGGCTGCGGAATAGGAGGCTGTTCCCCTTCTATCATTGTGGATGTGATATGTGCACCCTCCGGGACTAATACCGGTGGCCACTTGGGCTTATCTTCCACCTCCGGTTGCGTGCCCAATCCCAGTTTGCTATCTCTTGCCCAGTCTAGAGAAGGCTCTTCGATCAAGGCCGAGGAGCCTGTGCTGTTGGCAAGTGGCATCGAACCGGCACCGGTAAAAGACACAGCGAAAACCAATGTCATCTCTTATTGAACTGCATCTCCATGTTTTTCCGCCTCACCTTCTCTAGGCACAGCTTCGATCTGAAAGGGTTGTGGCTCTCGGAATATGTGGGCGCTTCCAACCGGGTTTGATGGATCTCTTGGGCGTACTCGCTCAACTCGTGCTTGGAGAAGGCAGGAGTTTACATAATTTCGATCTTTTGGGACGGATTTAATGTCGTCACAGGTAATCCTGTAAACATATTTTGTCGGGTGCAGTGGGATGTAGATGACCTCGTATGGTAAATCCGAGTTGTAATTGAGGATATCTTCCACAACGTCAGAGAGGTTATGATTGCCTGGAGTACCCTTTATTTCACGCGGTGCCATATTGTTAGCCGCCATTCTTAACAAGGTGTCAGATGGGAGTAAATAGGTATGGATGGTTTTGAAAAATGATTTGCGTATATTAGGATGTCCGCGATTTTAAGCCGAGGGGAGAAACGATCCATTTATAGAACTTATATGGACGCACCTGACTGAAAAGCTCCAATAGAATATGAGTAAGAAGTAATACTACGTTTTTGTGACCTCAATGCTCCAGATGGAAATACCAGGATAAGCACAATAAGCACAATAAGCACAATAAGCACAATAAGCAGGATTAGCATAATAAGCAGATTAGCATAATCAGTGTCTAGTGGCTAATAAAGATGATATCAACTTCGTTCGACTTCTATTTTAGGACATGCCGACTTGTATTCCCTACCATATGGGAACTTGGTGGGCTAGAATAATGGTTATTAGAATACTGTTGTAAAATGGTAGTTCAGCATACTACATTAGCAGAAAAGTATGACATGTCCGACCATTTAATATGTTTAAAAAAGTACTATTTAGTGAGAACTCTATATTAGGAAGAAATGCTTTATTCCTTAAGATATAGTGGCTAAGATGATGATATTTTTAATAGTTATATTTGATAATTACTAAATGATGATTCAATGCCACAACTAGTTGATGATTCGATATCTTAATGGTTGACGATTGGATATCTTGACTAGTTGATGATTCGATTTCTCCTCTGTAGAGATACTTAATCATCAACTAGTCAAGATATCGAATCGTCAACTAATTGAGGTATCGAATCATCAACTAATGAGAGGTAGATGGTGGTTGAAAAGTTGTTGATTTTTTGACGTGTCGCGTTGGAGTACAAGAGACTCTCTATTTGTCTATGCAAATATTTAATAATATAAGATATATAGTTTTAAGAAACTATAGTTTCTAACTTATTATGCTGTTTTATAAAATAACTAAGTTCTAGGTTTATAATATATTCCATACTAAGATATATTATAATTCAAATAGTCTTATAACCATTTAGTTTTGAATAACTGTTGGATGAGCCTAGTAAAACAGCATTCCATTCTTCTACCATCATCTGACTATTATTCCAGCCCACCAAGCTCCGGTATGGTAGACAGCTGTGCTAGTTCCAAGCCTTGCCAAGGACATCCAAAACCTGCTCAACATTTTGATGACGTCTTATGCTTTTGTCTTCAAGGATATTCTGGCACATAGCAAGGCATTCATTGTGGTGCCTTCCTGAAGAAGAGGGAAGTACTAAACTCTTAGTCTGGTTTCTATACTGGATACGTCCTCCAATTCACTATTATAAGAGAGATGTGTTCCAGCTGTCCTACCAAAAATATGGTGAGGCTATCTCTGTACGTAGATAATTCCTGCATCAGCAGATGAGGTCTGATATTTTGTACCAATGAGGCTGCTTTTCAAAGCCACTGTTGGTAACCTGGTATGGTTCAGCCCATACATGGCACTGATTGGCCATGTGTGTGGTGGAGTGAGAAGGAGAAAGAAGGATTCAGAGACGTAAGTACTATTGGTCTTCTATGACAGTCACTGTACTTGGCAAAATGGATACACTAGATAAGCAAACAGGTCAGCTTCAGGTCAGATACTAAAGTCTTAATTGCGGGCCTGCGCCACAGTCATGATGCGGCTTGGCTGTGATGAGATGCATACTCTCCGCCTAATCGCCATGTTCTAGTACAAATCATGAAACCCTGTTTATATATTTCTTATCGCAATATCATAGACAACAGCGACCAAAGTAGAAGTCATCTGTGAAGTAGTTCAGTCGACCAGCCCTAAACATCTATCTGCTGCCTGTGCGGCGACTGCAGAATATGCTTCCAATTTAAAGGCTTTTCTCCCCGGGTTCGCCTCCAAAAGTTCGTCGAAGCCAACAGCTCAGGAGAGTCTCTAATCATCCACGTCCACTTGTGCGCGAACCTCTCGGTGACCTCCCAGTTCTTGGGATCCCATGAGTCGCCCCACACAAGCAGCGTCGCGGCCGTGTTCCTCGTATCCCAAAACGCCATAAGGTCATGACACAGCTCATCATCGTCGAACGAGTCGCCCGCGAGAATCAGACGGTGGCGCATGCGGGGGAACGGGAAAAAATCCAGCCATGGATGATGCGGGACCTGCAGCTGGACGAGGGTCGGGCGTAAGCTCGGTGGGATTCGCTCCGGGGCAAAACTGGGCTGCTGGAGATTGAAGATCGAAATGGCATCATCGCTTTTCATCCATTCGGGGGTCATGCCGATCAGGGTAATATTCTCGTTGATTGCGCGATGGACGTTGAGGCGGCAGAGACTGATCAAGTGGTCTCGCTGTGGAGAGCCTTTCCAGTAGCTCTGGTAGGCTGCCGTTTCAAACCGTTGCCGGAACTGCAGCGCATGAGGCGGAGCGTTGGCGCATGTGAATTGATCAGGTACTTCTGCGGCGGCGGCGGCGGCCGAATAGAAATCGCGCAGAGAGCTGTCCCAGGTGGATTCAATGGACGAAGAAGCAGAAGCAGGCGGAGCCAATATGCTCGTTTCGGAATGCGGTCCTACTAGATCTACCCGCTTCCTCCAGCCTAGCAAAAGTGGGTGTCAGCTTTGAAGTTTTGTCTATCATCTGCTTGCCGAGGGTTGATGCTGTATCAAGTTCATGTTAATACGCACGATAGAGTCGCTGATTCAACCGATTCTGTAATTTCCTCCGTTCTTTTCGATCTATGACGCCCGTCCAATCATCCTGTGGCGCACGAACACCTGCTTGCTGAGGCATGCTGGCTAGTGGAATCATTTCGTAATGCGGTGTATTTCTGATGATGGCTTGTATACACTCCATGCAGTATTAGAACTGATAGATCATAAAATCTGCTAGAAGGCGCGAAGACGGAGCCTAAATGCAAGGTGCTGACAAGAATCGACTACAGTAGTGGCAAGTACAGGGATCCACAGAGGGCTCAGAAGTCAGAACGATATATGCTCGTTACTGGGACTTACTTCCAACAGATGCTGACAGCAACATTAGAGTTCCCCTAGTTAACTAACTAATGCAGGGTGCTTACGTCTCTAGCCTGATCTGGTTAACATGCCAAGAATAATATAGACTTAGTTGGCAGAGAGCCAGAAAGTTTCTGCCTACCAGCTATGCAATAAATGTCTATTTTCATAGACTGACTTTCTCTGGGCGCTAATGCACCTTGCTTACGCCAAGCCGGACCCGCTGCAATCGATGATGAATCCATCCCAGAGGATCGGCAGCTAGTGCCTCCAAATCAGCTCTACATTTGGATCGAGTCATCAAACATGCGTGATGGGCCATTGAAATGAACACACGTGCTATGTATTTCAAACTAAATGAATAAGCCCGCCGAAACCGGCGCACTCAGCATCTGCTCTTCTTGGATCTCTCCGAGCAGCGCATTGCCTGGGTAATCATCCAGATCCAAATCTACATATCCCCGGGACGCCCATTTCCTGGCGGTGACGAAGAAGGAGTGACCGTTGACGCTAGGGTCACTAAGTATCCGAAGGAGACACTGCCCTGCATCCTCAGTCGTGGCAAATTGAACCCCGACGTTGGAGACGTGCTCAAACGTCTTCCCCGGCAGAATGTTGGTTCGGACGTACCTACCCAAGAATTATCCATTAGCCATACGCCACAAAGGACACCGGACGCCCTCATGACGCCACAACGCGCGTAATAAAGAGGTAGGTGACATACCAAGGGGAAATGACGTTGACCCGGGAGCCATAATAGTAAGTGGTCCTCCGGAGCGAATGCATGATGCCCCGCATGGCCCATTTGCTCGCACTGTACTGCGGCCCTCGGGGACAGTCCAGAAACGCCGCCCCTGAGCCGATGAGAATCAGGCAGGTATCCTCCTGGTCAGGGGTGGGCGTTGAACCGTTTTGGCGGATGAAATAGTGGGCGGCCAATTTGGCAGTGTACAATGGACCCTTGATGTTTATGTCGATGATGGTCAAATCCGGTTCGACAGGCTCCTGGTCCGGATGTGGCTGCTCGAAGACTTCATCCGGGCGATGAATCCCGGCGTTGGCCACCACGTAGGCGATGCGGCCGTTGGGGGAGAGAGAGACAGCTTGTTCAAAGAGCCGGACTTGGTCATCCCAGCTGCCCGCGTCGCAGGAAACAAATTTCGTCCTTGATGAGGCAAGAAGGTTCTGGTCAGTGATGGACTATGCTCAAACCAGAGTGTCGAGGTGGATCCTACATTGGCAGCTCTGCCGCCAGGCGTTGCCCTTTCTCCAAGTCGATGTCTCCGAAGCAGACGTAGACCCTAGTATATTACTATTTAGCTCCTGTGGATGGATGATGAGCTGAGATCTCAAGGAGTGTTCCATACCCGGCGGCAACGAGCGCCCGCACATAAGCTTCACCAAGACCACTCGCACCTGTGTGTCTGTAAGCGAGTGCAAAACCATGCTAGTGTGGGAACATTTGAATCTGGTTACCTCCTGTCACAATGGCGGTCTTTCCCTTCACACTGCTGGGGTCAAAGTCCCGCTCACAGTCGACCGGCCCGGTGTGGATGTAAGGGGCCATGATGAATGAGGCTTGATCAGTAGATGAGGACGCGTACAAGTTGGCTTATCGTGGGATTGGCAGAAATATCAGGAAGTTGCGTGCACCCAAGGCAGCATAGTTCAAGGAGAAGAACTCTTTTATCTTTCCGCAGGCAATGCCATTGTTCTTCCTCGGGGGTACTTCCGTGTTCGTATGATCCATGGACTAGAGTCAGCCTCCCGGCTCAATAACCTCGGATGGCTGTTATTAGTGATTAACATGGATCATTCATGCAGCGAAACAGGCTGTACAGGCCCCCACATGTCAGCAACTCGCTTTCGGATCAAACTTGTCCAGTGATTTCCCCCGACTCCAGTGACTTCACCTGACTCCATTGAGAGCCAAGTGCCTTGGCATGATGACAATGTCCCTCACGATGTACTCCTTGCAAGGGCCTTGATCTGCCCTCTCCGGTGCATATGATGTAGGAACAATGGGCGTGCAACCTCCCAGCGTGGCTTATTTATACCACCGGTCGACCGTGCCTTGGGACCTGAGACAGAATCATTCTCTCCTTAACCTCAACCATTCTACTAGTCTTTTTCTTTTTTGAACGAGTAACCCCCATCGCAATACCATGAAGATTTCGACAGCCCTTAGCCTGACCGCACTGCTTTGCGCAATGTCGGCTACCGCCCAGAACCTCTCCTATGGCGCAGACAACTTCTACCGCAGTGACAGTGTCACCCTGCGGCCGATCACATTCAAGAACCAATACCAGATGACGGTGGCCGGCAACCTCTTTGTCCCCCGCAGCCAGAACCTGACCCGCAGCGGCGATGCCCCAGCTATCATTGTGGGCCATCCGATGGGCGCCGTGAAGGAGCAGAGTGCGAACCTGTATGCCACCAAGCTGGCGGAACAGGGATTCGTGACCCTATCCCTCGACCTCCAGTTTTGGGGCGGAAGCTCCGGGGAGCCGCGTAATGCCGTGTCGCCCGATCTATACGCCGAAGCCTTCAGCGCCGCGGTCGACTACCTCGGCACGCAGAACGTGGTCGCCGTCGACCGCCAGCGCATCGGTGCAGTGGGCATCTGTGGCAGTGGTGGCTTCGTCATCAGCGCGGCCAAGATTGACCCGCGCATTCGGGCCATTGCCACCGCAAGCATGTACGATATGGGCGCCGTCAACCGCAACGGGCTACGTCACTCCCAGAGTCTCACCGAACGCCAGGCCATCATCAGTGACGCGGCACAGCAGCGCTGGACCGAGCTGGAGGATCCCAGCCAGACTAAGTACACCAGCGGCACTCCAAATGAGTTGACGCCCAGCACCGACACCGTCGGGCGTGAATTCTATGACTTTTACCGCACCTCCCGCGGCGAGTTCACCCCCGCCGGATCAACCCCCGAGCTCACCACCCACCCTACTCTAACCAGCAACCTCAAGTTCATGAACTTCTACCCCTTCAACGATATCGAATCGATTGCCCCCCGTCCATTGCTGTTCATCGCCGGCGACCAAGCTCACTCCCGCGAGTTCAGCGAGGATGCGTACGCCCGCGCCGCCCAGCCAAAGGAGCTGCTCTGGATTCCTGGCGCCGGCCATGTCGACCTTTACGATCGCGTGGATCTCATCCCCTTTGACCGTCTCACTCGGTTCTTCCAGACGAACCTCGCCCGGAATGGGACTGCTTCTAGCACTCGTTGAACAGCCAAGTCTCAATCCTTGAGAAGTAAGTCTTGAACGCCGAGGATGGATTCGGGGCCACGCCTTTACACCGTGCTTGTTTTGTAGATGAGAGTGTGGCTCAATGGCTTCTTCACCGGGGGTTGACATAGATATATCTGACGACCAAGGAACAACAGGCCGGCAAGCCTTGTTTTAGGCCTTTGGAGAGGAAAAGACAAGGGAGATCTTGATAGCAGGTGGAAATCTGAAGCAGTGACTGCAAGTTTGATATATGCAAGACATCTTCTCCGTATGCCGATATTGATTATCGCCATCATAGTTGAACTGATGTACCCTTTCATTACACCAAACAAACGTACAACAGGTCAAGATAGCCACAGCATTCTAAGCAGGTAAAGAACACAAGCCCGGCCGCTATACCTTTCGCCCTAGCAATCCTTTCAGATAATCAACCCGCTTCTTCATTGAGTCTGCCACCCCGGCCCCCCGCTTCCCCCCTGCTCCTCCGCTCAAGTCGCGTAAACGCCAGAGCATTGTCAACAGACTGGCTACCACCATGGCCTCCATTCGAGGATCTGCCCGGGGAGGAAGTAGAAGAACTCCTTCACTGTACGGCAGCGACACGGACGCACCCACTCCGACATGGTTGTAGATCGCAAGGACTTCTTCCCCGCAGGCGTCAGCCGACTGATCCTGCACCGGAAGGCGAACAAGCGTGTACCGCAGTCGCCCATGGTGGTGGGCATGCGTCTGCCATTCCCAGGTCGAGGTCTCTGCAGCTACCTTTACCTGGAAGTAAGCTAAGGGTGCTTGATGAGGCGCATTACGTGTCTCCGACGGGACAGCCGGATAGGACATTGACACTCGAGTCGTCTCTGTGCCGGCTGACCCCATAGAAGCCGAGTCCTTACTAGCCAGGAACCCGGCTGTGTCGTCAGCACTTGCAATAGCCCTGCAATTGGTTGGTTAGTCGGCGTTTCTCAATTATTCGTTGCGTGATGCATTGTACTGCACTGTACATACAGCTCGACCTCTACCGACTGCTCTGGCGGCTGCTCTCCCGCCACTCCTTGATATCGCACCGAACCCACAACCTCTTCTCCTTGCTTCCTGAACGTCACGTCATACACCACAGAAGCGCTGTTCAAACCCTCATTGCCCGGTTCCTGCATCAGCCCAAGAGCTACCACGTACTCGCTTGATCCGATGAGAATCCCACCAGTGGCGGCGGTGTACTGCGCACTGATATCGTACAGGGTGATTTGCGACACCTCCCCGTCGTGGCGCGGTATATACAGTGCACGCGAGAGTTGCTTCGGAGGCGTCATGCCCTGACGAATCAAATGGGCTGTGGTGCGATCATCTTGGTTTCGAGACGAGTATGTGTCCCAGCCGGTTAAGGCTGTGTAGCCGTTGAATGCGATGCCACCGTTATCCATGTTGAAGACAGGTCGCTGGAGTCTGAAGTCGACGGTTGTGAGAAAGTGGGGAAGAAAGGGTTCGAAGTTCATTAACTACGAGATAGCGTCTTTTAGGGCTAAATCTGCCACTAGGAAATGTCCAATCAAGACATTGACTTCAGGCTCGCTTGTACAGCCCGTAGTTCCTCGTCATGGCCGGGACTGTAGAACCAAATCAACAATGTCGGCGTCTGCGCCACGCTCAAGTAATGTATTAACCATTGCTTCATGCTGCTGCACCACAGGCCAGAAGAGGACATGGCTGTAGATGACGCCATATCCATTTATAGGCCATCCGGGACCCTGCACGTTGACATCTGCCTCTTCACGATCATGTAAAATCTCATGCGTTAATGGAGCATAGTATAATCACGGGTCCAAGGTTCTGTTTGAGCCGTCCCCGTGCTTGAGAAGCAACAACAATATATCCATATCCCCATTCTTGGCGGCAGTGTTCAATAGATTCTGCCAGAAGTGGTAAAAGAAATTGACCGCAGCTCCATGACTAACCAGTAACTGGACAATCCCTTTACGGCGGCCCGTGACAGCCGAAACAAGAGCCTCCTTTATCTGGTCATCGAAAACTGTCTTGTAATGGTTCTTTAGATCGGAGAGCAGGATGGCAGCTATTTCTTCGTGACCCTGGTAGGACGCAAGCGCCAGGGGGTGATGTCCCATGAAACTTGGGATATTCTGCCGCGCACCTAAGGCTATCAAGGCCCTTGTGAGAGAGACATGGCCATGGATAGCTGCCAGCGAGAGCAACGTAAACCTCTCTGGATCTGCCATGTCTGGACTCGCACCCTTCTCAATGATGAAACGAACAATGGCCTCGTGGCCGCCCTTTGCAGCGAGCGACAGAGGATGTGGTCGAAAGTCACGGAAATGAAGCTCCCTTTCCCTGCCAAAGCGAAAAACCACTGGCCCCTTTCTAAGTTCCCCGCGCGGACGTTCGATTGACAGAGGCGCACCAGCATCTAGCGCCTTTTGGAATGTGGCCATATTGCCATGTTCTGCAGCCCAGTACAAGGCGGAACAGTGGCCATGGACAACATTCCATCGATACAGACAGGGGTCGTAGATCGAGTACAGGCGGTGACTAGCCCTAACCAAAGCTGCGATGGTTGACTGCGACATCGCAAAAGAGGCGATGAGCAGCAAGAGCTCGTCTGGTAGCGTTTCTAGGGGGGACATTGTGAAGGCGTCGGTGTAGTAGGAGGCAAAAGGCCGTTCTTCCGGGCGGGGGACGCTCATTAATACTGAGTTATTTTAATTAAGTTTTGGAAGCCTTGAGAGCATGCGTTTCGGGTAACCCAAGACGCATCTGCCACGTCCAGGCTAAGCTTGCCGTATGATCTAGGCTTTAGTCCAAGCTTCGGAGATTAACCTAGCGGCAGCACTAACTGCCACATGTCACTGTTAAAGAGGTACGCGTCATTTGTTTGGCGGTTGGCTGAAAGACGCTCGTGTGCGGTCATGATGGAGGCTCGTGACCAGAAAGATGCAAGTGATGAAGAAGGGGATGGGGAGTGAATGAGGGAATAGAATGAGATAGAATACTGCAGGATATCTGATGGTTATCTCGCGTGGACAGTTGCCTAGACCATCGATGGAGGACAGTCTCTAGGAGCGCCGCGCATGCCTACTGTCATCTTACTGACAGGGGCAAGGATAATACCATGCTAGACTAGTATCAAGCGAGCTAAAAATAAGACCAAAAAGTGTGCAAGATACGAAATTTAGCCCTACGGGACCGCTACTTTGCCCTTGAGGACAGTCTACATCCACATCTACACTCTACAGTCCAGTCGAAAGTAAGAGAAAAGGAATAGTTGAAAGGAAACTCGAGCATTCCGATTCAAAACCAAAAAAAGGAAAAAAGAAAAAAAGAAAGTACAAAGTCAACAGATACAACAAAATCCCCCCATTCGGGCAGTGGATCAAGGAAAACATCCTCGTCACTTTTGTCTGTGACGAGGTAAAAACCTTGAACGGGATACATCAAGATAACAAGAAACCTGTATCACAAACCAGTCTTCCAGCTGTCTTTTTTTTGTCTTTTGATCAGCTTTTACCCAGTGTTTTCCAAGTTTCAAGTCTCTCTTTCTCTGTCGTCCCCAGATAAGATGGTCTCCCACGATATGGTGAGATTGATACAAGTACTCAGCAGGAGCTGGTCTCTGTGAGCCAGCCCTTCCTTCAATCCCAGAAAAATAAAAGGTCCTTGTCCCACATCAAGTGTGGCTGAGAACTGTCAACTCTCATAGGAGCTAGTCCCTGTAGGCTAGCCCTGTCTCTCATCTCCATATATAAAACCGTTCTCCCACTTCATGCGGAAAGAACATTGAAAAAATGGATCTGATCCTTGGATCAATCCTCTCTCCTTCTCAAACAAAAAGGTGTCTCCCACTTCATGTGGATGAGACTACATCTTCCCCAAGAATCCCTTGATGGGATGTTTCAAGATGTCTCTTGACTGAGACTTCAAAGTTTCCTCCGCTGGGATTCTCCCAATCCCGTGGCCGGCGCCGGCCAATTTCCTGGTTCACTTTGTTCTTTGACTGATTGTTCAGTCGGTAACTGGAGGTCGAAATCCGATCGAATGTTCAGTCGCTGCATCGGAGCAGTCGATAGGCAAAGCTAGATTGAGTTGAACGATAAGAATTGCCATAAGCTTGTTGCAGCTGTTGATGTGGTAAGTCTTAAAAATGGAATAGGCTTGTCGCCGCAGATTGATTGTATCGACTCGACTGAAGGTTTCTCGGGTGTTGGTTTGTGGATCGGTTTGATTGTTTCGACGATTTGAACGATTAACCACCATGCCGACGCTGCTAGCCCAAAGTGACATTCGAGAAGAGAGAGAGTCGAAGTCGGAACGAAGGCAACCCGGCCGACACCTATTGGGGCCCTCAATAGGGCGGCCTGCAGTCGCAAAAGCATCGTTCGAATGGTGTGTGCAGGTGAAACCTTTTTCGTACGTTGGTTTTGTTCTTTGTGATTGTGATGTTGTAGCTTTCTTGGAGGTTTCGTTTTTCCCGGTCAGAACAATTATGCGTTTGTTGTTGTTGTTCTCCCGTCAGGCATCACAAGCAGTCAAGCAATGGTGGGTGGGACGTGGCATTGCCAAACGCCAATGTCCCGAGGTATGTCAGGTTCGCGGAGGGTTTGGCGTGCCAGTGCCCAGAATGGACAATTTGCTGGGCTATCCTGGCCCCCCCGGAGGGTAAAAAAACACAATTTAGAAGTAGAAGGGGGCACCAACCACCTGGAGGCCGGTGGTGGTGCTCCCCTGAACCTCGTCGTTCACAGCGAGGTTCAACATGGCTGTGGCCTGAGAGGTCGTCAGCAATTGCTAAGAAAAGTAGGAAGAAAAATGAACTCACAATCCAGTTCATTGCCAAAGCCCCCTGAGCGAAATACTCAGCCCTCTGTGAGGATGTTAGTATGCTGATCATAAACCCCGATTCGAACCTAGGACAGGGACTTACCTCTTCCGGGAGGGGAGGGGCGTCTGTCATGACCACGTCTCTATCTTCTTCAGCCGGGGCCGTGATGGGTGCAACAAATGCGTCCCTCATCACAACGTCACCATCCCGGGTGCGTGTGAAAGCTGTACGAAGCTGCTGTGCACGACGCTGGTTGTTGTGGTAGTGGTTGTTGTTGTTGTTTCCCGGGTGTCTAGGCGCCTATTGTTTTGTCAGCCTAAACTCATAAAAAGTCGAACAGCAAAAAGCTTACAGCGTTTTGCCGAGGCTGGCTGTTGTTGGGCAAATTGCCCTGCCGTCTGGAGTTGTTCCCCCGCTTGCGGGTGTTCGCCCCATTCGGATTCGGAGTATTAGGAGAACGATGAGGCTGCTGGTTTGATCTGTGACCGCCAGCATTTCCTCCTCGCTGTCTGTTCCCACGGGGGGACTAGAGGAAGTCAGCTTTGTGCTTCAGCTAATGGGACAAAAGGGCAGTGATAGCTACATTTTGGTTGCGATTCACGCGACCCTAGAAGCCGGTTAGCAAAGAGTACATATCACAACCGAGAGACAAACACTTACATGTCCATTGCGGTTGGTGTTACCGCCAAATTGTCCAGTTCCGTTCGGTTGGTGGCCATTTGAAGCAGAAGCTTGAAGAAACCGGGCCATGTCGCCGCCGAAAGTCTTAAATCCGTTGGTGTAGGAAGCCATTGGGTTTTTGGTCTTCCTCGGGAAAAAAGTTATAAAAGAAGAACAGTTTCAAGAGTGAAGGTGATGCGGAAATTCTTTTGGCGTATACCACTGCTACCGGCTCTGGTCGGTTTAGCTTACTCTCCAGAACGGATCCCTTTATTTCCTTCGTGAGTGAAAAAAGGTTAAAAAAAAAGCTAACGTTTTAAAAGCAGATTTGTTTTGGCTCTTCTTTTGTTTTCTGGAGTCCAAAAGTTTGAAATTCAATAACGGTTTGAAAAGCAACGCTCCGATTTCAGCCCCTATTGAGAGACAACGTATAGCCAGTGGGTGCGTGAGGTGAAGGTCTGCGGTGTGGAAATGTAATAAAGAGCTCTTGTGGTGTTCTTTGGCTTCTTCGAGTTGGAATCTGGAATAGTTACTTGATACCTGATGGTAGCAAGTAACTGAGCACACGGTTTGGGGCTGAAGAAGAAAGAAAATCAGAGAGAGGTGCGAGGGAAAGTGACGGGCTTCTTATAGACGGGGGAAGCTCGAAGAGAAGATGTAATACCTCGTCGAGACCGTGGTTCTCCATTGCAGTAAATGCGTCAGAAAGACGGTTGACATGAAGGCAGCCATGCCTACCAGAGCTGAGAGCGCTCGAGATCATTCTTTTTTTTCTCAGGGTTGTGGGCGGAAAGGAGTGTTGTCGCCCTGATTTCCCCCAGATTGTATGGGTACCACATTTCCTGTTCCTGAATTTTCCGGGGAAATAAGCTTATCAGCGACGGATCTACCTAAAAATAGCATGTCAACCTGCATTTCTGCAGGGAGTGCTCCAATCATATTCGACGCTAGGGGAATTGTTCCTCGGGGCTCTCGTTCCACTATTCTACATCTTTAATGATTGGTTGAAGCTCGAGGATTTGTTCTGCACATCATACTTAGAACTATGTCTTTCCTTAGAAAGGAAGAGAAACAACATACCAGCTCTGGGTCATCCAACCAGACTGATAGCATCAACTCGAGGAGCTTAACTCTGTCTTTTCGTTTCTGACTTTGACTTTTCTGCTTGCTGACCTCATGGGAGAGACAGGAGCATAGTAAGTCCGCATCGTTCAATAGAGCTCACAGAAAGGAGTTGAGTTGAGCAAGCTTTTACCAATCTGCTTGTTACTGACTTTGTTGGCTCGTCGTCTTTATCTGTTCAAGGCAGAGAGAAGGAAGAAGGGGTGAGCACAGGTACCAGCTCTTACCGACCAATAGAACTCCTTGGGACATACTCAACAAGCTTTTCTCTGTCTTTTCGTTCCGTTCTTTGAGGAAAGGTTTCTGGCTTAAAATAGAACGAAAAGACAGAAGACCAAGTCAGGATCGTCCAATTGAACTCGCTGATCAACTCAGGAAACTTTTCGCTGTCTTTTTCTCACTTCTGACGTCGATGTCATTTCGTCCAGAATCTCTGGGTCGCGCTTTCTCGCTCCAAATTTGCCACTTGATGTCTGCGAGAAAGAATTGGGGGTCTCAGCACTCCCCTCCTCTCCTGCACCACTAGCCTTGACCTTCTTCTTCCTAGGCCTTGCGACACCGCCAGGCGACGAGGCAGAAGCGCTCCCGTTCGACGCAAGACTATCCCGTTTCCTCTTCTCGGGCTTAGCATCTCTCTTCTTGCGTCGCTCCTCCTTGATTTTCAATCGCCGCTGGACTTCCTCTGAAATATCCTCCGTCTCTAATGCCACAGGCATCACATCTGCGACTTCCTGCTCGGCGCCGGGAATAGCTAGATCCAGCCGCTTGCGCTTCGAACCCCGAGAAATCGCCGCATACGGCCGGTCCTCCTGCGCCTGCATCAGCTGGAGCTCTGCCTGCATGACTTCCACATCCTCATCCGCGTCCTCGTCCACTCTCGCCCGCTTGTGCTTCTTCCCTCCTCTTTCTCTTTCTTTTGGGTGATTACATCGTAACGAGTCACTGTTGCCATTTCCCCCTGCCTCAGGCACACCCGTAGAGGGATTCCGTTCTTCGTCCTCGTCAATTTCCTTTTCCCTGTCTGGATGTCGGCCGAAATCGGGACCAGACTTACTATTCATCTGAATGACCCATTAGAACCAAAGAGAACTCACCAGAACGGGCTAAGGATGACTCACGAGTTGTTTCTTGATTACCCTGAATTGCATCACTAACTTGTTCGTCTTGTCGGCCATCGAAGAAACCAGTCGGAAGGAGTCCCCGTCGCCCGCGACTTGGTTCTTCACACCATTCAGCATCTCCAGATGAGACAATAGGACGGACTCATGCTGATTGCAAATCTTTGTTTTCGAGTTCCATCAGTAAATGGCCTGTTACGGTGTATTATCTATCCGTCTAGCATGCAGCATCCACCCACCTCCGACCATGAGAATAGCTTGCGCTGTGCGTCAAAATGTCTTGACTGAGGATTCCCATTTGCTTCATCGCTAACGTCTTCAACAAATGGGTTTAACGGGTGCTGGGGATTGCTTGATGGCATTATGCGTAGTCCTTCAATTTTGACCCTGCGTTGAATTAAAGCCCGCAAATCTTTCGAGGATCGACGGAGCTGTCAATATAAGCCGAGACTCCCGCGCCAAGACTCCGCTACTGTCAGCCATTCACATTAGCGCTCATTAGTGACAGATGTGGTTTTTCCTGCGAACCATGTCGCATGCAGAATTACGGAGTATCTGCCTGTCCCCACTTATTGCCTACCTACACTTCTTATCACCGATACATTGATCCTCAACTCACCAATGTATATTGATTGTAGCACTCATATATAGATTGCATTTTTGAGCTTAACATGTTAACGCCAGAATTACGTGCTGTACTATAGTGATATCCTGACTCCTGTGACCATGTGAATCGTACATAACCAGATGCAAGTCTCATCTTCGCCAATACGCCATTTCAAAATATCAGTCATGCTCGGACAGCCAAATTGACATACAGACAGTCAACCTCAGCACCCAAATTCAGCTAACTACCATGCGCCAGGGTCAAAATCGAACCGAGAAAGATCTTTCTGCGCATCTTCGACATCCTTCTTTGCCTTCATTCGCATGTAGAAGATCGGACAGTCTCGAGAGGAGCAAATTACCTCGCAGTGCAAGCTACCCTGACAACGCTGGCATTGAGTCCAGAGCCGTCCGAATCGGACCTCGAGATCCGATACTTTGGTCAATGTTTTTGTGTAAAGCTCGCCAATTCGAGGGCGGCAATGTGCGCAAACAGCGCCAGCCATTTCTTCTTTACCTGAAAGAGGCTTCTTGCAACCCATACAGGTTTGGGTCTTCTTCGCAAATTTCATCAGACCTCCCAAGGTAGGTGCCGCCACTGAGATGGACCGAGTGTGTTCACCAGTCAAAAGTTGATTGGCCTTCTTCTCACCAAGGATGGGTTCGAAAATACGACCTAGAGGATTCGCCAGTTGGTTGTCAAGGTAATATTTTGTGTCGATCGGAATGTTGTTCTCCAGAACGTATATAGGATCTTCAGACTTCTCGTAGTTCTTCGAGCCTCCAGCGCCCTTGACAATGACATAAGCCACACGATCACCAAGAGTTGGCGCAGAGCCTGCGTCACGCTTTCGCATCCGCTCCGCGAGCTCAACGTGTGCCTGCTTGGCCGTGTAGTCGGCTTTGGAGAGCGCTTTGGTAATCACAAGCTTTGACATATCAATCTTGTTCTGCAGAAGATCTGAGATGGTTTCCTTGACGTAACTGCCAAGCAAGTCAGCAAAGAGCACAACCCTGAGGGATAAGCCATCACTTACTCCTGAGCGCCATCGATGTCTCTGTCAATCAGGATCTTGTGCAGCACCGTCTCGATGACATTCTGAACCAACAGGCAGTTATCTCTACGAACGGTTTCAATACCCTTTGTATCCATTTTATCGAACTTGTTCGGATTCGTCCAGTACAGCCCGGCGTATCTCTTCTTGTTGATTAGAAGATAGGGGAAGTAAACCTTCTCAAACTCGAGTTTAATGGGCTTGAGAAACTTGGAAGAGACATAATCGGCTGCCTCCTGTCCGAGTTTCATGGCCTCTTCCAGTTCAGTCACGCCAAATTTGACCATGACCGAGTCGGTATCACCGTAAATGACCTTGGCATCATGGGAGTAACCATTAGCGATAGTGTATCTGGCTTCAACCTCCTGCTTGGTCTTCTCAATCATTTGACGTCCGTAACTGGTGGTACTACTCGCAATGGGAAGACAGGGCAGCTTTCCGACTGTGGCACCAGTGAGACCGTACACACTGTTGGCGCTGATCTTCAGAGCGAGCTGTCTTCCGTTCAACACTGCTTTCTTGAAGGGGTCCGTTTCGACGGCCAGCTCTTTTTTCGCCCGTTTACGGGCAGCAAGCAATTCCTCCAGAATTTGCGATAGGAGACCTTTGCGCACTTTTGTTGTGCAGAACATGTCGCCGTTCGGAGTCACAATGTAATCTTCATCTTTCTTAAGCTTCAGTTTCTCAACGCTGTTCTTGTTTAGTAGGGTCGTATAGCATAGGTTATGTGCTTGGATGATCGAGGGATATAGAGATGCGAAATCGAGGGTCGCAATCGGAACACCGTAGTACCCGCGACTTGGTTCAATAACAGTGGCGCCTTCATAGTCTTGTTCGTCTGTCGACTTCATATTCGGGATGACAAGCTGTTGCTCAAGGGCTTTGCGAAACAGTTGACTAAGGAACTTGACTTGCTGGCCGCGAGAGAGGAGAAAGTTGAATGGTACACCCGTGACTCTCGCCATCTCAGTATAATTAACCAAGCACATCAGCTTGTCCATCAACCGTTGTGGCAAGTACGCATCCTTCAAACAGTACACGGCTAATCGCCGCCTTGAGTCAGGCGTCCCATTGAACAATTCCGTGATCATCGTATGGTGGACATCCTCTTTCTGCTCCTTAAGGAACTCGTAAGACACGGAGTTCAGCGTGTAACTTCTTAGGTGATAGTCTCGTTGCACCAACTGCAGAAGATCGAGCTGAATCCTTCCGTTAGTGTTTGTTGCCTTCGTGTCTCGATTACCCATCTGCTTGCTGGAAAAGCTTGTCGACGTCGCCTGCGACGCCATGCCTTTGAGACGGGTCCAATATGGGAATCCAGTACATTTGAGATGCTTTGCCCGGTCTAAGAGGTATGGAAAATCGAAGTTGGCGATGTTATATCCGATGATCACATCGGGATCGACCTTCTCAAGGAAGTCGCGCCAAGCCATCAGCATTTTCTCCTCTTTGTCGAATTCCAAAATCTGTGTGTTCACAATCAGACTACACGTATCCAGAACGAAAACATTCCGAATGAACGGTTTTGATTCTCCATAGCGGGTGACAACGTTTGCTATCTGAATGACGGGGTCTTGATTCGGCTCCGGAAAGATGCCTTTGCGTCCGGCGCACTCGATATCGAAGGACAGGATGCGAAGAGGCGCCATTTTAGCCCATTCACCATTGGGCGGATGGGATATCAGGTCACGATAATCGATGACGGCTTCAATCTGACAGTTTGATAATTTCTCTCGAGGGCTGAGCAGGCGGTATTTTCCGGCCTTTGCCTCCACCCACGACATACCAGCAATGTCCGTGTCAATCATGAACCTGAGAAGGTACTGGATATTGTCAAAGGTCAGAATACCAGTATCGGCGTTACTCCACAAGCCCTTGTAATTCAAGCCTTGCGCATTGTTCTCCAGCGCACTTCGGACCTTGCTGATGAACTTCGGTTCCGTGACTGTGATCTTCAGGTAATAACTCTTCTGGTTTCCTTGAAATCCATAAATGTTCTCTCTCATTGTTATTTGAACCGACTGAATGACTGGTTGGAACTGTCCTAGTTTGCTCTCGAGAAAGGCACGATAGGGATCGCAATCTTCCTTGGTGAAGTTCACCGGCGCCGCGATATACAGGTAGTGTTGAAACCCGGTGACGTGGAGCAAAACTGATTGCCCGGCCTGCATCGAAACCATTAGTAAACCAAGTCGACTGGCTGTGAGAGAACGAATCTACCTCTGTAACACCGAAAAGTCTGACAGCTGTCTTTCCGCCGGTAATCGTTCCCTCTTCTGCGTCAATTTGCTGGAAGCAGATGTTGTCTTTGGTCTCATCAAAGTCACCCAAAGGTGGCCGCTCCCATTGCTGGTCCTTTTCCGAGTTGCTATCTTTCAGCCCGTTGATGTCCTGGGTCAACTTTTCCAAAACTTCCTCTTCGAACTGGCTCTTCTGGGGCTGACTTGAGCCAAAAGATTTCCGCAGACCATTCTGTGATAATGAATTTACTGCAGCAGGGCGTTGTGCATCGAGCTTTCGTTTCTTCACGGTGCCGGGGGTGTTCAGTACGCTGCGAGGATTATTCGTTGCATCACCCAGAACCCGCTTCTGGGGCATTGCGACGGCTTCAGGCATGGTGGCGAATCATACACGAAGTCTCGTAGTTCTGCTGATGGGGAGAAAGGACCGTCAAGACGAGAGAGAAACAGGGGTCAAAGTGCTTTAGAAAGTTACATAGATGGAAATGTTATCGGCAGACAATGCGCTCCCCGATTCGGGAAGTCGTGTCTTGGTCGCGCCTCGAACGTGACGCTCTTTACGCGTGCGACAAATCACGTGATCTTACGTCGCGCCTCTTCCTCCATAAATTGGCAGGACTCTTATTTGCTTGGATTACTGGAAGCAAAGTGAAAGGGGTCGTGCTTTTTCAAAGACGACCTCCAAACGATGCAGCAGATGGAATATTGGTGATTTTCCTGGACATTATCGTGAAGAATCGGTTACAGCTTGCCTGCTTAAATGTCAGGTTGGAAAGCCAATTCGAAGTTTCTACGATTACATAGCATATCTAGGGAATCTAGGTACATCGTGATCAATGAAAATTCGACGATTTGGATTCAACATGCAGCCTCTGTCGCGAAGTACCCTCTATCGCGATCACCTATTCTCATGAGTCGTATAGATGCTGTTATACCCTGCCAGCGACTCCTCCTTCAAAGCTTGCATCTCCTTACCCTGGAACCGGTTCGGGTCCAGTGCTTTCTTCAGGGACTCGTCAACTTCTTCACCCTGAATCATCTTGGCCAAGAATTTAGCTGACCCAGCCGCATGAGTGACCCACACTGCAGCCGCCACATAAAGACCCTTGGTTGACGAGATCGTGCCGACCAAAGGCAGATTGTCCGGAGTCATGGAGAAAATACCATTGAACTTCTCCTTGATGGTCAAATTCGTCTCAGCAGGGATCAAATTGCGGGCTCGCTCCAGTGTTGCGTCGAATGCATCGACCCAGTCACCAACCGCAGTCTCATTGGGCTTGTGATAGAGCGGCTTGTGATCATAAGAACCAAGTCCATAGGCTGTGCCATGATCACGGGCATACACATGGAATTCAGGCCATCGAACAAACGGTGACTTGCGCGGTTTTGGCTCGCGCTGTTCGCCATACATGTATGGATGCGCAACAGGAATGACCGGAATCGGCACACCAAAGGTACAAA